GGGAACTGTGTTACGTTTTATAAGAATAGAATCAGATACGTTACTGAGAGGCAGGACGTTGGGGGCTCCCCCTAAGCAGGCAGGGACCCCTAGACTGCAAGGGTGGGCGGGGTTTTGCTCCGGACGCCGCTGCCCCGAAAGGCTTCCAAACCTGGCCCGAGCCTGACACCTTGTGGCCATCTGGAGAAGTGCAGCCACAGCTGCACTTAGTATCAATATTGCCCTAAGGGTCATCACCTGGGCCACTCGACCGGCCCTGGGGGGTTGAGAGGCGAGGTAACGCGGCGCCCCATCCTGAGAGCCCCACCCTATCGTGTGATGTGGGGCTCTGCTGCCTTCGAGTGAGCGACCGACGGACCAAGGAGAGGGCGCCCGGGCAGCACCCGGCCTCGAAGCTGACGGGGGCACCCCGGGGCCCTGCTGTGGGCATCGCAGGGCCCTGCGGCAGACGGGGGCAGGAGTGGGTCCCTGGAGGCCTGGAGGCTGGCCCGAGCCAGGCCGGTGCACCCTAGGCTTCTGCACCCCTGGGAGCCCGGGGGTCCACCGTGCGGGGGCCGGGGCCCCCATATGCATCAGGGCCAGGGGCAGAGCAGATGCTCACCAGCCTTCCCTCTCGTGCACTGCCGACGGGAAGGGGGGCCGGCCCCAGCCTCGCTCTCCTGGGCCGCGTGGAAACGCCCCCCCCAGCTGAGGGCTGCCCCCGGGCACCTGTCCGCAGAGACCCTGCCCGTCCTGCAGGTCCTGCGGGCGAGCTGCCCCCAAGGGGGCTCTGAGGGTGGGCGCCGGATGCCAGCCTGGGGCGTCTCCCGCGGCCCCAGCTTCCTCGGCCGGCGGGCTGGCGTTCGGGGGAGCAGCCTGCTCCGCCCCCCGCGGGGCCTCTGCCCCAGGGAGCCCCCCTTCACTGGCCTGGCTATCGGGGGCCGACCCCTTTCACGCCCGTTCCGGGGCCTGAGGGCCCTCTCACCCAGCCCTGGTCGCCTCCCCGGGGAGCTGGTCGCAGGGCCACGGGCCACACCTGGTCACCGTGGGGACTGCCACTTTCCCTGCAGCTCCCTTCTGCCTGCGATGCGGGGGGCAGAGCCAGACCCACGGGGCTGTCCCTGTGGCCCCCCCAGGGCCCACCGAGGGGAGTGACTTGTCATAGACATGTCACTCTGGGGCGAGAAGCCCCAGAGCGCAGCCAGGCGCCCCGAGGCCGTGGCCCACCGGCCTCACCCACACGCCCAGCCCACAGAGGGCGAGCTCCGTGCAGGGGTGGGGGCGAGGGCAGAGCTAGAGACTGCCCGAGTGTCCCACCGGGGGGGGGGCTAAGTGAGGGGGGCGGGGGACCAGCAGGAACCAGAGTCCCGGGCCCTGGGAGGGGCACCCCCTCCCGTGTCCCGCAGCCCTGCGGGATGGATGAGGAAACTGAGGCACACAGCCATGAGTGGCACAGCCCGGCCACTCCCCCCTGCCCCTCTGGCCCTCCAGCTGCCCCCCCTTAGCCTTGCACTGGTGTGGGGGCCCTACATGCCGAGGATGTGCCTGGAGATGGGGGACCCCCAGGAAGCAGCCCCTTGTGTCCTGAGCTTAGCCTGTTCCCTCTTTTCCGGGCGGACCCATGCCCAGTGGTGGGGGAAGGCCCGGGGGACACCCGCTGCCGCCGTGACTCCTGGGAGGGGGCCGAGGGCCAGCACCACGGCTGAGCCATGCGCCGAGTTTGTGGCCTGAACACCCACAGTCCCACGCGGACTCATGCTCTCGAGGTCAAGGCAGCTGTGTGGGAACGCCTCCTCCAGGAAGCCCCCCTGGCTGCCTGCCCCATCCAGCCTCCTGCTCTGCTCTGACCCCAGCTGGAGCTGAGGTAGGGGCGTGCAGCCCTCCCCTTGTCTGAGTCTGGCCTCTCTGTCCCCTCCTTCCGCACAGGGGCCCAGGGCTTGGGAAGCCCCTCTGCAGGCCCCAAGGCGAGAGAGGCCTGCCCTCAGCGGCACCCCGGACAGACTGGCGTGTCAGCCGCGAGAAGACAGCCAGGGAGGCACAGCGACAGCCGGGGCTGTGGGTTCAGGGCCACGGCGTCAGCCCGGGGTCTCCGGGGTCGCCCTCTCCCCATCGTGCCCCCCTGCGGACGGACCCACAGCCCAAAGCCTGGGGCCGGAGCAGGAAGGCCCTGTCCGAGGAGGACCCCGGGGCAGCCGTGGCTGTGGGAGGGGCGGGCTGCACGGGAAGGGGCCGGTTCTGCAGCCGGCTGGCCGGAGCTGCAAGAACAAACACTCGGGGTCGTAGCAGTGGGGCGGCCCGAGCGGGCAGGTTGGGGGGTGCCGGCTCTGTTTTCCAAAAACACAGATGGGCTGTGAGGCTGTGAGGGGCTGGGGGGGAGGGGCACCATTTCTGATGGCTCAGCAGCCGGGTGCACGTGGGGACTGGGACCCCGGAGCGCGGGGACTGGCCCCAAGCCCAGCTTCCAGGGGCAGCCTCAGAGGCCCGTCCGTGGGTCAGGTGGGGGTGGAGCCCCCCCGAAGGCAAGGGTGGGCTGCCGACGGGGAGCCTGGGTGGGGTGGGTGCAGAAACTGAGCTGAGGACCAGAGGGTGCGGGGGTCCTGGCGCTCACTCCCATAGAGGCTGACCAGACCTCGGGGAGCCGGGGGGCGGTGGCGGCGGCGGCCCCTGCTGGGGTCTCCCCACTCTAAGGGCTCTGCCTGGCTGTCCCTGTCCAGCAGCCAGAAGCAACAGCGCCTGCGGGGGCCGGGGGTGCGGGGGGCGGCGTCCCCCACCCTGCTTGCTGCCTCCACAGTTCCCGGGCACCCGCCACATTCTTTCTGGAACTGACCCCTCACCTCTCCGCACTGGGTGGGGAGGCGGGGGCTGGGGCGGACGTGGGAGAGAGCTGACCCCTGCCTGAGGCCTCCTGTCCCCAGAGCCCTACCTCCTGTGAGACTTCTGGCTCCAGGGGCCGAGGGGGCTGCCAGACCCAGCCTCAGTTTCCCCAGGGCCCAGAGACCCTCAGCCAGGGCTCCAGCAGGGCCCGGGCTCCTGGCCCAATTCCTACCTCGGCTGCTCAGTGGCCATGTGGGGGTGCTGGGGGAGGTCACCCCTAAGGACTTGCCAGATCTCTGATTCTGGGTGCCTGGGGTCCGACTCTCACTGGGGACTTTCCCAGGATGTCGGGGACCCAGCCCCTCTGTCCAGGGTCCGCACCCCAGGATGCCCAGGCCATGACTGTGGGGCCTGGGACCAAACACCTGGGCTCCTTCCTGACCCTCCAGGCCTCCAGATGGCCCCTCGGGCACCCCCAGGGGGCCCTGCAGGTGGGCAGCCGACCCCGCAGAGAGGACAGCCTGCCCATGGCTGGGGACATGCCCCAAACTCGGGGCTCTGGCACCCTCTGCTGGCCATACCTGTGAATGGCCGCTCTGCCCAATGGCTTGCTCAGTGTGGACCTGGCAAAACCGCCCGTCCTGGGGGCCTGGTCCCCCCTGAGCCCGGGAACAAGTTCCTCCAGGTAGAGACACAGGTGCCCCCTTCACACCTCACCGGGCCCAGGTGCCAACCAGGGCTCAGCCTGGGCTCTGCCGGGGGCCTTTTCCAGCAGCTCAGGCACCTGGTTCCTGGTCCCCCTCCCTCTCCCCGCGCAGCCCCCACTGGGCACTGGGCCCTCAAGGGCAGGGGCCCTGCCCAGCACCCCCGTCCGGTGCCCCTCAGGGCTCGTTCAGGCCCGGAGACCCGTGAGGACGGTGAATATTTACTGCCCCTCGGCCAGGCAGAGGCGCCGGCTCACCTGCGCCGGGAGAGGACAGCTGGGGGGCAGCCTGGAGGCAGCCCCCCCCCCGGCAGGGTGCCCTGGGCGGTGAGCACCAGAGGGACAGACGTCCCGGCCTGGTTCCAGTGTCCCCACTGGGAACAGGGGGGCGGCAGCGGGCAGCGCGCCGTACGGTCCCCTGGGCGATCCGGGCCTCTCGTGAGGGGGCAGGGGACCCAGCCATGTCGGGGGCCTTTGGGGACAGCGGCTCCCCCACCCACCACACCAGGGTGGCACGCAGGGCTGGACGAAGTGGAGCCCACAGCCAGTGCCGTGGGCAGAGAGGCCCAGGTCCAGGTCCAGGGGCAGGCAGGCTGGCCCTGGTGCGTCCAGGTCACCCGCTGACCTCCCAGTCCACGGCCAGCCAGGCAGCCACGGCCCGGGCTCTCTGGTACGCCAGGCGGTGGCCTAAGTGGGGTGCCCTGTGGAGCCACGCTGGGCTGCAGTGGGGGCGGAGGAGGAGGGGTCAGGACCCCCAAAGACGTGCACCTGGAGTGGCCTGTCCCCAGGCCCTGAAGCTGCTTGGGGGGGGGGCGCCAGTGTGGGGCTGTGTGGTGGGGGGAGAAGGCCCGGGGTGGTGGGAGGCCCCGCCCCTGGGCCTGGGGGCACTGTTTCCAGGGGGACACAGCCAGGATGCCCTCTCACCGGGTCCCAGGCTCCTGCCCAGAGCCGAGGGCGGTGCACCTGTCCCTGGCTCGGGGGTGCTGTCTGGGCCCGCCGGAGTTCCCCGCTCTGGGCCCAGGGGCCTCCTCTGACCGGGTCTGGGCTGAGTGTCTGGTTGCCCCAGGCCCACCCAGTGCCTTTGAGCCTTTCTCCGTCCCCAGGCCCCTCCCTCAGAGAGGCCTCCGTCAGAACAGCCCTACAGGCAGGCCTCTGGGGCAGTGCGGGCAGGAAGCTCTGTGGGGGGGCGGGGTCGCCTCTGAGCTGAGAGTGTCAGTCCCAGTCAGCCCCCCACCCCCAGCCTCCCAGGGACCCCAGGACCCTTCCCTGTCCCGTCCTGAAGCAGCCAGGGGGGCTCTGAGTCCCCCTAGCGACCCGGGCCCGGGACCATGGGCAGCCGACAGGAGCTGGCCTCTTGGGGGGCCTGCCACATGCCCACGGGCACCCAGTGAGCCTGGAGAAAGCGTGGAAGGGCCGGTGGGTGCGCCCCGCCCCGCCCCACCCCGGCGCACCCTGCCCGCCAGCCCTCCCATGGCCGCGGAACACAGACAGCAATGGCACCAGCGCTGGTTGAGGGTTTATTGGGTGTTGGGGCTGTGGGGCCGCGGGGCGGGGCCGCGGGACGGGGCCGCTAGTTGCAGTAGTTCTCCAGCTGGTAGAGCGAGCAGATGCTGGTGCAGCACTGGTCCACGATGCCGCGCTTCTGCAGGGCGCGCTCCAGGGCCGCGGGTGGCAGGCCGCCCGTGCCGGGGCCCCCACCCAGCTCCATCTCCCCCGCTGCTGCCGGAGAGACCGGGCGCAGTCAGGGCGGAGAGGGGGACCGTCGCCCCGCCCCAGGTCGGGTCCGGGCCAGCAGTCCCCCAGCCTGGTCCCTGCACCCTGTTATCGGCCCCCAGGGCAATGCCACTGAGGGGACCGGCCACAGGCCCCCCTCCACGCTGGCCTCCGCAGAGCCCGTCCCAGCTCCTGAGCCCCACGGGCATTTGAGCGAGAGGGTGGGGCACCCCCATCGGCCCCCAGGTCTCCCTGAGACAGCCGGCACCCAGAGGCGGGGAGGAGTGGACGGGGCATTTGTTTGAGGGGGCCGGGGGCAAACGGCAGACGGGGCAGTGGACGAGTCCACCATCAGTCGGGTGGCATCTGGCCTCTGCCCCCCAAGTGCCAGCGCTGACCAGGGAGCTGGCCACCTCTAGGATGTGGCCAAGGGAACGTCATTGCCGTTTTAAAACTCCCGCCTGAGATCCCTCCGCCCGCCCCCGCCGGGTGCCCGGGTTGGGGGCCGGGCAGCCGCTCACCCTGCAGGTCCGGCACCTCGCGGCGGGCCTTGGGCGTGTAGAAGAACCCCCGCTCCCCGCACACCAGGTACAGCGCCTCCACCAGGTGGGAGCCGCATAGGTGCTGGTTGACGAAGGCCGGGGCAGGGGCGGGCGCCCAGAGGGCCAGCAGGGCCAGCAGGGGCAGGAGGCGCGTCCACGGGGCCATGGCGGGGCGGCGACCACCTGGGGACGGGAGGGGCTTGAGGCCAGCGAGGGGCACGCGCCCCGCGTGCGCCCCCGAGTGCGCCGAGGGAAGGAAGAGCCCACGACCTCGAGAGCCCGGACACCCCGGCCGGGCCGGCCCCCACCCCAGGCTGACTCGCAGACCCCGGACTGACCTGCTTGCTTCGGCCTCGGAAAGTCACTGGTCCAGGAGGGCGGGGGCCGGCTGGGCCCGGCCAGCTTTATAGCCCGGGCCCATCGGAGCCCCAGGGGGTGGCAGATGGCCGGGGGGCGGGGGTGGGGGGCTGAGGCTGCAATTTCTGGATCATTTGCCCGATGCTGGGTCTGCGGGGGCCTCTCCTTGGGCCTGGGGTGTCAGCACTTCTTGGGGCCACGGGGCCCATTAGACCCGTAATGAGGGCCCTGATGGCCCTGCGTGCCCGCTCAGCGGGGGGCAGACGGCTCCCGGGAGCGAGGCTGAGGTTTCCACATTAGTGCAGGGAGCAGGGGGCGAGAGGAGGGGCTCCTCCTGCCCCAGCCCCGGACTGCTGCCCTCCGACCCCAGTCCACCCTCCAGGACCCCCGGACGGTCTGGGCTGTGGGCGTGGGAGAGGGAGGGACAGACCGCCCCCCCGGCTCCACCCGGCAAGGCAGCCCCCCGGCGGCCCTCAGCTCTGCAGGGGGGCTGACCTTGGGGACCAGCGGCCCTGAGACCCCCGGCAGACCCTGTGTCTCGGCCTCGATGTCGGGGCAGCCGCTCCCCTTCTGCGCTGTGGCCCCAGGACTCGGTGGACGGGGCCCAGCCCTGTCCTGCCCACACGCCCTCGGGGCTTCCGTCCCTCCTCCTGGAGCCCCCGCCGTCTCCCCATGCGGACCCCTTCGGGCCTGGCCCGAGACCCCAACATCCTGCTCGGGGGTCCCGTGGGCTGAGCCCCTGCACTGCCCCTCAGCCCCCCTGAACAGGCCCAGATGGGAGGCCTGCCCGCCCCCCAACCTGCCTGCTGCTGCCTCCAGCCCCCGGGCAGCCAGGGCTCAGGGCCCCTCACCGTGTCGGAAGGGCCGGGACCTGCCTTCCAGGGACCATGGCGCCCCAGGCCCCCACCACCAGCACTGGCCTGCAGCCTGGCAGCAAGGGCAGCGGGGTGGGTGACAGAGGGGGCAGGGGAAGGACAGAGCCTGGGGCTGGCGGGGCCTGGAGGGAGAGGAGGCCGGCCACCAGCCCACCCTCCCGGGTCTCTCTGGGGCCCCCAGCCCGAATTCGGGCCTCGCAGAGCTGAGCGGCCGAGGCCCTGGGGCAGAGCTGAGGAAGGACAGACTCCCAGGGTGGGCTGGGGGAGGAGGCTTTATCCAGCAGGGGCCTGACGGGTGAGGAAGGGTTCACCAGGGCTGGCGTCCGGAGCGGTCAGAGCTGGACCCTGGCAGTGTTATCCGGGGGACCGGAGGGCCTGAGCAAGGCCCAGACGGGGGCCTTGGTCCCCCCATCCCGTGTCCCCATGCCGCAGGCAGGAGGGGGCCAGGCAGCCCTGGGTTGCTCCCAGAGGACGCAGGGGCCCTGGACGGAGGGACAGGTCCAGCCCCTCGAGTGACCGTGCAGGCACCAGCTAGAGCCTAGAACCCAGACCCCCCACCACCTTGCTGGGGGGACGGGGGCCCAGAGGTCGCCTGGGAGCCAGGGCCCATTTCAGGGAGCTCCTATGCCCCGCTCGCTCGGGGTGGGGTCAGGGCTGCAGCGCCCCACCTGCTCTCACAGACTGGCCCTTGGGGACTGGGTCTCCTCCATCACAGCCCTGCCCCCAACGCCCGCCCCCCCCTCCAGGGGCTCCCGTGGGCCCCGCCCTGACTGTGCGTCACCACAGAGACGGGCCTCTCAGCTTGACCCCCTCCGCCCGCCCTCTGGAGCTGCAGGGGGCAGCCTGGGGGGGCCTTTGAGGGTGATACCGCCGGCTGGGGCTGCCTGGCAGGGCCTCTCGGGAGGAGGGGGCAGAGGAGCAACCTCTGAACCAGGCGGGGAGGGCGCGCAGGCCTGGACTGGGGGGGCGCGTGGACATGGACACCAGACAGGGGGCTTCTTGCTTTTATTAGGGTTGCGAAGGGGCAGCACACAGCGTCTTGGAGGGCGGGGGCAGGGGGTGAGGGCGCCGGCAGTCGGGGCTGAGGAGGGCAGTGGGGTCTCGAGGTGGTCTCTGCAGCGAAGGCCTCTGGCAAGCGCGTGGGGTGCTGCGACCCGGCCCCTCACAGGGGCCGGGAGACCTCGGGGTCCGCCGCCGGGCTCAGCCGAGGGCGTTCAGCGCGTGGCCGAGGGCCTGCAGCTCGTCCTGCACGCCCTCCAGGGAGCGCCGGACCGCTTGGGGGCTGTCCAGCACGTCGACGGCCAGCGTGTACGGGTCAAACTTCACGGAGAAGGGACGCTGGATGCGGGAGGCGTAGCTCCTGGGGACAGGCCGGCAAGGACCTTCAGTCGCCTGGTGGGGACTCGGGGGGGCCGAGGCAGCCTGGGGCGGGGTCCATAGCCTCCAGGACACCCTCCCCAGGGCCCAGCTCAGCCAGACCTCCTCCTCCAGGAAGCCTTCCCTGACCACATGCCCCGGAGAGTCCACCTCTGTCTCTGTCCTGACACTTGTGTCTGGGTCCAGCCCGCCCCTCGCCCCACTCCAGGGCACACAGCCCCTGGGCCTCAGTCTCTGCTGGCACAGCAAGAGCTGGGCCCTCCCCCAGAAGAAGGAGCTGGGGCACGTCAGGCTCTGCCCAACCCCCATCACACCCCAGCCCCCTGCCCTGGGGATCGCCCGCTCCCTCGAGCCCCCCTCCCCGGACCCCCTACCCTCTTCTCCACCCCACGCCCTGGCCCCAGCCGCTCAGGAGGCAGGGGCTGGGAGGGGCCCCACTGACCCCTCTCACAAAAGACTCTGCCTCTGAGAAGCCTGGCCTTGACCTGCCTTGACCTGGCCACTGCTAGCCTCCCAGGTCTCCCCATCCTGGAATTTTTGGGGTGCTGCTGTGGGGGTGTCACCATGGAGATGTTTGCAGTCTCTGCCTCTTGAAATGGGCCCACAGGCCCGGCCTGCCCACCTAGCTGGCTCAGTCTCAGGGCACGGCAGGGGAGGGGGGGTGTTGCGACCCGGGAGCTGGCCCACCTGAGCTTGTCCCTGGCGTCGCTGAAACTCTCGGACACGAAGTACACGGACTGGTACGTCTGGTCCTGGTAGGGCTGCAGGGCCGCCGCGTCGGGGTCAAAGGGCCGGATCTCCGGCTCCTCCGACAGGGAGTGCTGGCGGGAGGACACAGGTCACTGGGCCCCGCCCCCCCAGCGCCCCTCGGGGGTCGACTGTGTGTGCGGCTCCCGCCCTCCGCCCCCCCAGGGACCACCACCCCAGGCCCGTGCACCGTGGGGAGGGAGGGGACCGGGACCAGCTTTCCCGGCCCCGATGGGGAGGCTGCCCACCCCTCGGGGCCCCGCCTCCGCCCCGCCCGGCCCGCCAGGGGCTGCCTGCCTGCCGGGGCGTCTCACCAGGAGCTCCCCGTAGGAGGACAGCAGCCCGGCCCCGTAGGCCTTCACCTGCCCGTCCTGCTTGCACAGCCCGAACTCCACGGTGAACCAGTACAGCTGCGGGGAGAGGCGGGCTGGAGGGGCCGCTGGCCCCCACCGCCCCTGCCCCCCACCGCCCCTGCCCCCCTGCCTCCCCGCCCCAGGGCGCCGCCCACCCAGGCAGCGCGGCCAGGCTCCGGGTGGTCCCGCCGTGAGGGTCAGACTCCCCGCACAGAGGCGGAGCCCTCAGCCCAGACGCAAGGGCCCGCCCGAACCCAGGGCCCGGAGCCCGCCCACGGGCCCTGCCGGGGAAGGGACCCACGGTGGACAGCTTCTCGATCTCCTCGTCCGAGGCTCCCAAGGACGCAAGGCCGATGTCCTGTGGAGGGAGAAGGAGGCTGACGGAGGAGGGGCTCTGCCGCCATCGCCCGGGCACTGGGAGTTCCGCGGCGCCAGGGGGCCCTGGACTCGGGTGGGCAAGGCCCCAGGATGGCTCTGTGCTGTTCCTCGGGGAGCCAGCAGGTGGCAGCCCAGGCCGCAGGCACCCGCGCCAGCCGGTGCCCTGGCTGCCAGGCCCTGGCGGACTCTTGGCCAAAGGCAGGTGCTCCTTTGTATCGGGCGCTCTGCCCGCTGTGGGCTGAGCCTGCCCACGGGCTCCGGCAGGCACAGGCCAGCCAGGGGAGACTCAGGCGCGGTGCCGGGGTGCGGGGAGCGAGGCTCCGGGAGCCCCCCGCAGCCCCAGGCCGGTCCCGCAGCCCCTCGGCCGACCCCGCTCCGGGCCGGAGACCCGGAGGACGCACCTGGGAGAACTGGGCGAAGGTGCGGTCGGCCAGCATGGGCACGTGTCCCAGCAGCTCGTGGCAGCAGTCCCTGTGTCGGCGGAGGGGGAGAGAGAAGGGCGCGCTGGGGCCTGGGGTGTGCCGGACCTCTGCCCCCCACCCCCGCACGCACCCCCGCACGCACGCACGCACGCACGGGCGACAGGGCGGGCCCCACTCACGGCTCGGGGGAGTGCATGGGCGAGGAGGCGTGCCGGATGTACTGGGTGCACTGGAACACGCGGAACGCCAGGCTGGCCAGGAAGTCCCGGGCGGACAGCAGGCCAGCCACCGGCCGCAGCTGGAAGCCGGTCCTCTCTGCAGGGCACGGCAGGCGGTCAGAGCCTCAGGCGGTGGCACCGCGGGGCTGGCCATGCCCAGGCCCGCCCCGCCGCCCTACCCTGGGTGCCGGGGGAGGGGGGGCGCACCCTTCAGGAAGCGGGAGACGTCCTCCAGCTGGGGGATGTTGTCCTCCCGGTACCCGCTGCAGCGCTCCAGCAGCGCGAAGGCCTCCAGGTGCTCCCGGCAGGCGTGGGTGGCGTACAGGCCCTTCAGGGTGGTGTACACCTCCTTCCTGCTCGGGCGGGGCGGGGCGCTCAGCCTGCCGGGGGCCCTGAGCCCCCCATGGAGCCGCCCCGCGGGCCTGGCCTCGGCCCCTGGAGCCCTCACCCACTCGGAGGACCCTTGCCCGTGGTTTGGGGGCCGCCAGGGCACAGAGGCAGGGGCAGCTCCCTGGACGACCCACCCAGGGCGCCCTGCCTCCCAGGATGATGTTTGGGGCCTCAGGAGGTCCCCCTCTGCTGGACACCACTGCCCAGGAGCACGGGACTGTGGGGGTCCAGCCCAGGCCCCCTCGCTATCCCGGCCCACCCCCGC